CACACACACACACACACACACACACACACACACACACACAGTGTCTGTTTTCAAGATTAACTTATTCTGTGTTTAATATCAGAATCAGTCTTCATCAAACACTGTGTGTTTCCATCATTATCTAGTCAGAGAGATAAATATTGTTTTTCCATGTTTTAGTTAGACACCACTTGTCCAGAGAGACGATCGATAAACCTACAGAAAAAGAAAAAGAAATCCACTAACGACACACATGCATACACACAAAAAGTGCCAAAGGAAATTCCACCAGGACCATTAGTGCAATATTGGCTATATCCTGTTTTGATGGCGAGTCATTTAACAGGCGGACACAGGCACAGATGGCCCGGCCACCTCTTGGTGATGGTCCGTGAGTGGCATGATTGCTGTGTGGTCTCTGTTAGCTTGTCTCCTCCTTCTCGTTCATTCTCTAGCAGTCCACTTCCTCCCCATCATGGCTTTCTACGCTCTCTCTCTATCTCTCTGTTGCTATAGCTCTCGGTGCATGAACAGGAAAAATAAGAAAGGATGTGAGTTATTTTCATAGTTATCTCATGTGGAGAATGTAGGGTCAACAGTTGGAGCGAGTGCACCAGGCAGGGCGTAGAGGGAATGAGTCTCGTCTTGTTTTTAAGGTTCAAGAAGATGCAGTTGCTCATGGATGAAAAAGAGCTGTCAGTCTCCAGGGTTAAAATAACAACTTTAAGATGCCAGTTGGCAGAAGAAATCACATGGTGAAACTTTATAATCTACAATGAAACAGTTTGCAGGATTTAGAGAGACATAAAGATGAAATAAATAATGAGATAGAGATGAGGGGTTATTTCTCAGACAGAATTTCAGGGCACTTCATGTAAAAAAGTAGAAAAACTTGAGAGGAAGCTGGGCTCAGTTAGAAAGTTCCTCCTGCTTAAGTAAATAAAATACATCAGTCACTCACACAGTCACTGATGAGAACTGGGACAAGAGGAACAGTCAATTCTCGATGTTTTTACAGGAGCAGTAAACCCACATGTCCGCACATCATTGTATCACCCAGCAGAAGGATTGGCTCGGTTTCTAAAATAATATCAGTAACTGCACTGGAATATTCATTATTATATAATCTAGATGAAAAGTACTCACTCTGTGATAATAAAGTGATAAAAGTACAAAAAGAGATATTAACCCTCAAGGAGACATAGATAGAGAAGGAAAAGGAAAAATAAAGTCAGAATAAAAGAATTAAAACTAAATAAGCAACAGAAGCAAAATTTCAGTTTAAGTTTCCACTTCATTTTTAAGACTCAACACTCAAATCCTGAGCTAATCTGCTTCAGCAGGTCTGTATGAGGGAACAAAACAAATCAGTTGTACTGTCTACTGTAATATTTCTGGACGGCAGTGACCTAATGATGATTTGAAATATGGCCGCTCTGCTTCCTGAGCTTTGTCTCTGGTGTCAGGTTCTTTCCAGCCACCTTTGCTCTGCTTTTGTTTTGAGTTCCCTCCCTATGCCTGACTGCTAATCAGCTTCACACGCACACAGACACACACACACAAAATAGATTGTGTACATATATATAGATGAATGCCATGTAGCACGATCTATCTAGAAATGAATCTTGAATACCCCGAATGCTGCATTTGGAGCCAGACTACGCAGCAGGAATACACATGCTCAACCAATCACAAGTCAGTATCAACTGTCAGTCATGACGTTTAATCTGGATTTGTAAAATGTTTCTGATGTGTATTTTGATATTTTAGTTTCTTTGATTACATGGAGGAAGATGTTTCACACACACACGCACACACACACCTACACACACACACCTACCAATCATAAAGAACTGCTCTGATGGTGTCATCTCTCGGCAGCTTTGTTATCGATCACCGGTCGTAATGATCAGCAGATGCAGATGATGGCGCCACCCTCATCGATTCCCAGTGACGGTCAAAGAGCATGGCATAATTCACATCGATCATCAGCGACACTGTGTAAAAATTGGTTTCAATTGGAGCCCTCTCTCACACACTTTCATTCATCATTAAAACGTGTGCGGCACACGTGAACATGTGTTTTAAAGGAGCTGAGGAGCCCCATGATTGACTTGACGTCTTCAAAAACCAGTGTTGAAACATACTGGTGTTCTGGGGATATCATCTTGGACACACTGCTTTGGAACTGAGCAGCACTAAGGTTTTTTTTTTTGTGTCCATGTAAAATAAAGAGGTGCTAGCTCCTGCAATAGTCTCAGCACAAAAAAGGTGATTTCTGGTCTTTTAACCCAAACCGCCTGGAAGTTGAACCCTGGCTGCCTCCTGGGGGATTCACAGAGAGTTTACATGTATTGTCTCACCCTATGAATACACATTTAACCCTGAATAAACATATTATTATATGACTATCATTTCCCTTTAGCTGGCCGTGATGAACAATTCAACAAGGTCACTGTTGAAAGATTACAGGAAATGTGCAATCCAAATTTATCGCAGTAAACCATATTGAATCCTGTGAAACTCTCCATTGTCTCTTTTCTTTTCCTCATTCTTTCCCACTGAAACCACTGGCCTGCACACAGCCACAGTGGTCAGTGTTAATGTCCCTCGGTAACTGGCTCCATATTGTTTGGGGACTAAATGAGTACGGGAGATTGTTTCTTTATGGTCCCAACAATATCGCTGCACCAGTTTGATTTAATGAGCTTCTGCTGGGAATAAAGAGAAAGTAAAATGTGCTTTTTTTAAAAAAAAGTCTCAGCTGAACACTATTGAATCATTCTTTCAGTAAAGACTAGGCTGGTAAAAACTCTGGGTAATGTCCTAATAAGCCCATGTGTGACTGAAAACACACACACTTGTACGTTACTAATGTCTGCCTCATAATACTATGTATATAAAATCCTTTTAACTTTGTGTTGAAATGTTCTCTATAAATAAATATAGCCATAGAGGACATTTAGGCTTAAACATGGTGTAAATGACGCTGTTTCGTTGAATTTGAATGTCGGGGCTTTCAGCTTTTGAATGACACCACATGAACAGTATGGAGGCATGTTGTGTTTTTTTCTGTTTTTTTTTACGTCTGAGTCACCAGTAACTTCTATTGTGTTGGATTTGGCTTCTACACTGTTTACCCCTGAGACTCCTAAAGGGTTTTGTGGACTCAAACATTTCTCCCACCCCTCCATCCGCATAGTGAGTAGATAATGAGTTAATTTTCATTTTTAGGCTAACTATCCCTTTAAATTCTTTACCGATGTGTATTATTATTATTATTCGTGTTTTTCTGTTGTTTATGATGCTGATCCAACCTGAAGAGAATCATGCTTGAGCAGTTCACTTAAACACTATTTCCTAAAATGTACTTCATCAGGCACAAGTATGGATGAAAGGTGTAAAATACAGCAATGCTGCCACCTGCTGTGCATGCTTTGCACAACAGCAGCATCTTAATAAACACTAATGATGAGAACGTCTGGGCAGATGTCATTTGTCAGAAAGACAATACGTCGATTATAATATAATTGATTACAGGAGTAACATAGATGTCAAGGTTTTGCAGCATCTGCTCAGGAAAAAAGAAAATGGCGATGGAAAAAAGAAAATGATGGAGATATTAAAAAGTGGTTCTAAAATATAAATAAATATAAAACTGCTTGTGTGGTCTTTGAACGTATGTTTCCTCTTCAAGGAAGCAAAGCAGCTATAGGTGAAGGTAGTGCTCAAACATTTCTTATTGCATTTTTTATCTGAAAATTTAAATGTATTGCATTGATACTTAAAGGTACAGTGTGTAGAAATCTGTGATATCTAGTGTTGAAGTTGCATGTTGTAGCAGAACACCCTTCACCTCACCCTCTCTTTCCAAACATGAAAAAGAACCTGTGGTAGCTTCAGTTGATATAAAAACGCAAAAGGTGTTTAGTTTGTCCAGTCTGAACAATAGTAAAAAACATGGCGGCCTCCGTAGGGAGGGTCCCCTCGATGTTAATATAAAGTATTTAAATATAAAGGGCCTTTTCTGGGGTAAAGAAAACTACAACTCATAGAATTCAGATGAAATGAACTAGTGTAAACATCATGAGGATTATTCTACATTTAATTTCTGACAATAGATCCTTTTTACCTAAATCTTACACACTGGACCTTTAAACACGTTTGTGGAGCAACCACAGAATAAGTTTATATTTGCACTTGCAAAAACACACCACAGCGAATTCCTATTCTGTGTAAACCTATTTGGGAATAAACCCTGACTCTTATTCTACACTATGTCTCCTCTTGCAACAGAGATTTAACAGAATTCAAAGTGGGGAATACATGACCGTCTAAAACCCAGATTTATAAACTGTGCAGCGACCGAGCTGGAAGGCCACACCTCTGACTGTTCCTGCATTCTGCACCATCAGGATTTGCTGAATGAATGTGCCATTCATCCCTCCGTGTTGTTGTCCCCTGTTTGGACTCACATGGATAATGTAATTGACAGATGGCTCTCATTCAGGCCAGGGTAGGCATGGAGAAAAGGGGGACGGACATAACAAGTGAGGATGTCGCCTGGATTTTGTGTGCACTTGGACGTTTGTAAATGAGGACTCGCCAGCTCTGAAATATTAAGGTTTCCTGAAGGTTTCTGGAGGAAATCCGTGGCAGGAGGTGTGACTGTAGTAAAGAGAGGATAGATATCCACTGTTGAAAACTTTTTGGAAGGACCAATGGGGGCTAAATTCACCATCTGCTGCTGTCACTACTACCTGAGACACAACAGAGAGGAGAAGAATGCTATTCTGCGGTGAGAAACACCTGACATGATGACAGAAAAACCTTCTGCCTCTCACATCCTGCTTTTACACCAGTTTTTTCCTCTGTCTCTCTCCCCAGTATTCGTACCAGTGCAGCCCCCAGACCCCCGGACCTGTTGCCCAGTGAGTCCAGTGACAGTGACACAGAGGAGGAGAGTCTCTTTGGGCCGGACACTTCGAGATGGAGCCTGTGGAGCAACAAGAGCCAGAGGGGCACCTCTGATCCACAGTCCAACACAAACAGACCCCGCGGTTCTCCCCTCAGGCGAGAATCGGACAGAGAGTTACAGGCCTTTATCAGCATGAGAGACCAGGCTGACAAGGCTACAGAGGTAAGACGAATTATGTTGATGTTGAGGACAAAATGACAGCAGGAGAGAATCATCACACACACACACACACAAGAAAGCAGCATATCTGTCATTTCCTATGACAAAAAAACACATTTACAATTTCTCTAACCGTTACAATGTCTTCCTAAAGAGAAATTCTTCTCTTTCGTATGTAATTAAATCTATGCAGGACACTGGTTACATTCACTGCAGCTGAATGTTGTGACTGACTGTGGTTTTACTTTGAAAGATAAAGCTATGATTTACCAAAAGACAAATCCTGTCACTTTTTACTGTTTCACCTTTTTTTTTTAATGT